AGCTCCCTCAGAAGACACAGTCTGCCCAACACTCTCCTTTTCCTACAAATGCCAAAGTACAAAATAGAGGGCTGCAGTGCAGAGAAATAGTTTCAGGAAATCTTATTTTACTGTACTTGAAAACAGGGTTGTATGAGCATTAAAGATTAAAAGTGTTCTCACTAATTCCAGGTATAAATGATAAGGGTTATACTTTGTCTCTGAAAGAATAGCTAGTCAATACCAGGAGTCTGTAAAGTAATGGGAGTGAATTTCTATTCTGAGGAAATATTTGCCTGGTGATACCAGATTAATGAGCAATTTAGTCTATAAAATATTCATCTTGTTCTCATAGTAGAATGTCTACCTAGCAAGTTTGAAGCCATGAATATAAATCTCAGCACTACACACACACACACACACACACACACACACACACACACACACAGAGACTCACATCATCATCTATTGTTATTTTTAGTAAGAAAACAAGAAGAAACTTAAACATATCTTTACTGAACTCAGAATATATTAAATTTTAGTACATAATAGAATTAAAGTGATCAATAGAGTAGAAAGGAGGTCAATATCCATTTTTATGATGACAGCTTCAGGGTATTTTAAAGGGAGAAGTCTCCTTATTTTTAATATGCATACGTATATATATGTTTTTATACATACTGAAACACGTGAATGAATATACATTGTGCATATATATATATATAAACATGAATATACATTGTTCCTTCTTTTGTGAATTCTTAGTAAACTGTCATTAAAAGTCAGTTGTCTAATTGATCCGTAAACACTGTTGTTGCTTGTAAGTAACTGAAATTTTATTGTTTCTCCCTACTAAGTGCCTTAATAATTTTAGTTTCTCTGATTACTCTTTCTTGTCTGTAATCGTTCTTTAATAAGAAGACTTTATCCTTTCCGTTATTAGAAATTTATGCTACATAAATATAAGTATTTACTTGAATAAAAATACGTAGAAGCAACAATTTAGGCAGGTTCATCTCTGTATTTCTGACCTGTATTACCCTTCAAGATGAATCTTCACATCCTTAGTAGACCAGATTTGTGGGCATCCAATAGAAAATAAACAGAGCTTTTATCTGCTTGCTCCTAGAGGGACAATAGTCCCCAGGTCATTAATACGATTAATAAGCTAGCAGCTGGGTATTGAGTCACATGCTTATCTATTTTGGAATTTGTCTGTCAATTAATGTCATTTTTGGTGCCCAAATCCCAGACCAAGGGATCTGAGATCCAATCTGCCTCTTGTTTGGAGTGAGGATTAATTTGCTCTGTTACTGGCTTTTCCATTTCTGACAATACTCATTCTTCCCTTAAATACTCCATCAAAGTGTGTAGGGATCAGAGTCAAAATCGTGCAATCCAGATGAGTTGGTTTTGAAAAACAGTTTTCTCTTTTTCCCTCATCTTCTACAAGAGTGCCTGCCACTATGAAAGTATGCAACTGGGGGTATTAAACTTATGTTTATAATTTTATCTCAAAAGTAAACTTATTATTTCAATAACAAGGGAAATTTGGAGGTCAAATTTTTTCACAAGAATTTGGTGAAGTAACTGGGGAAAGATTTCTGGGGAAAGATTTCTGGGGAAAGATTTGCCTCACATGTGAGGGAAAAGGGAAGACACTATGTATGTGACAACATTTGAAATGTTTATCGAAGTATTAAACTAGAGCAAACAAGCCCAGCGTTGTAGCTCATGCCCATAATCTCAGTTATTCTAGCAGGTGGCTCACTTGAGTCCTGGACTTCAAGACCAGCCTAGGGAACATTGTAGGGACTAGTTTCAAAAATAAATAGAGAAACAAACAAATAAACCAAGTAGAATATACAATACAAAACCTCATACATCAGAATAGAGATGGGTTATAAATCGCTGCAATGTAATACACCAATGTTGAATAGACTTCAAAACATTGAAGAACTCTTTCTACTATACCAGCTTCATCCCTATGGTATCACTAGGGATTTGTACAATTCACTCTTTAAACTTATTTTCCAATACTTCTTAAACATGATTGTATGAGATAAATCCCTTTATTACCTATGTTAATTAACTATGATTGCTCCTTTATTAACTATGATATCATTGTTGTATGAGTTAAATTCATTTATTAAATACACAAAGGCTCAATCTTAGAAAGTTGGGATATTAAGTCATTAAATATTAATATATATCAACCAGAATTAGGCAAGATACCATATAAGTAGGAAAGAAGACAAGAATGTCGCAGGTGGAGGAAAAAATGTGAAGTTTGAAACTAATTTGGGTGGAAACTACCAAGAAGGATGCTGGTTATTGTTAGCAAGGAGAAAGATAAAAGAGAAGATGTTAGAGCAGAGAGTGATGTAGGCATGTCTCAGGTAGTAAAGCACCTGACTCATAGGCACAAGTCCCTGAGTGCAGTCCCAGTACAAACAAAAAGAAAAATCGCAAGTAATAAAGCAGAAATATAAAGTTAAAGAACACAAGTGGAATAATGTTGAAGATGGTTCATACGAATCGGTCTGCTTCATTTGAAAACATTCATCCTCTGGGCCATTTTTCCTCTTTTCTATTTGGTTCCTTGTACAATTTTAATACAGAGATAAAATTATACACAAAGTTCTGTAGCAAAACCTACCTAATTGTGAGCATGTAGAAGAGAATAATCTTTATGACAATAGCACTGATGAATGACATGTTTTCTCTATACTAACAGTAAATACTGTAAGTTTGAGTAAATTTTGGTTAGTCTTTAACTTTTCAATAATTTTTCTCAATTTTCCTTTGATAGGAAAAATAAATACCATATGAATGTTTTGTCTGGTATTATAGGACCTATATGAGGTGAAGTTAATTTTAAATGAATAAATGATAGAAAGTTCATTGTTATTCTTCTTTAGTTAAAATTATGTCAAAATATTGGATCTAATCCCAAGTACCATATCTATGTACCTATCTATCTATCTATCTATCTATCTATCTATCTACCAGTACATGAATGGACAGATTGGGAATAAGTAAATTAAGCAACAAGACACTAGAAACTCAGAGAAGGTATCTTAATCTATTGATTCTAATTTTTATATTTTCACTTTATTTAAACATAAATGGATGGTTTGCATGATTTCAGCAATATTAAGATATTAATGAGATCATTTTCAATTAATCAAGTGTTAAAGAAATAAAAACATTAATTATTTATAACAGAATGGTTATATATTGATCATTCACCAATGAATATTTATGTATCTAAGTATTTGTCCATAAATATTTATTTACTTTTTATTTATTGTGCCAAGTGTGAAGCTTGAACTCAGGACCTGGGCATCATTCCTGAGCATTTTCTTGCTCGTCTCATACTCTACGACTTGAGCAATAGTTCTATTTCCAGCTTTTTGTTAGTTTTTCAGAGATAAGAATATCACAGGTCTGGTGCCAGTGGCTCACTCCTGTAATCCTAGTTACTCAGGAGGCTGAGATCTGAGGATCACGGTTCAAAGCCAGCCTGGTCAGAAATGATTGTGAGACTCTTATCCCCAATAAACCACTCAGAAAACCAGAAGTGGTACTGTGGCTCAAGTGGTAGAGCACTAGCCTTGAGCTGAAGAGCTGAGGGACAGTGCCCAGGCTCAGAGTTCAAGCCTCACGGGAAAAAACAAAACCAAAATCAAGAATCTCACAGTTTCCTGCTTGGACTGGCTTCAGGTTGTGGTCCTAGCTCTATCTCCTGAGTAGCTACAATTACAGGAGCCACCAGCTCATGCTGTAGCAAACATTTATTAATTTCTAGGCATATAGTAAACTCCATATGAATAAAGATATGTTAAGAGTCCACATACTGGGGCTGGGAAGGTGGCTCAGTGGTAGAATGCTTGCCTTGCATGCATGAGGCCCTGGGTTCGATTCCTCAGCACCACATAAGCAGAAAAAGCCAGAAGTGTCCTTCCCCTATGATATATCCCTTGTTGTCACTGTATTTGACTTTGGTGCCCTGGTATTGTCTATACATTTATCTGAATAGGGAAGGGATGGGGAACAACAGAATGGTGAGACAAAAAGACAAGAGGGAAACCAAGGCAACGGTAATATACACAAGACAATATGCTGGAAATGATCTGTACAACCTGGTGGGTGGGGGGGGGGAGGGAAAGTAGGAGAAAAATGAGGGAAGGGGTAACAAATTTGACAAGAAATGTACTTATTACCTTACTTATGGGACTGTAACCCCTCTGTTTATCACCTTGATAATAAAAATATGGATATATTAAAAATGAAATTAATTCATCAAAACATAAAAATATCCCTTGTAGTTTTCATTCCTTACTGGCAAGGAGGGGGTTGGGAATGAAGCGGAATGATAGAGATTGAGCGAAATCCTGGGTTCTATCCTCAACATCCATAGAAAGGCTTAGCCAAAAGGCACAGAGAATGCATGACATATTACATAAAAAAAAATCTATGCAGGAAGCTTAAAAGGGATTCACTCTTGCTCTGTCCCACATATTTCTGTGAACATGCTCTCTCTCTCTCTCTGTGCTCTCTCTCTCTCTCTCTGTGCTCTCTCTCTCTCTCTCTCTCTGTGCTCTCTCTCTCTCTCTGTGCTCTGTGTGTGTGTGTGTGTGTGTGTATATAGTCCTGTAGTCCTGGAAATAGAACCCAGGCTGATTTGTATGCTGTTCAGGTACTTTACCACAAATCTCTATCACCTATCTTAAATATATACATGTATATATATATTTTTTTGAGACAAGATCTGATACAGTTTCGAGGATAACCTTGAACTCATTGTTTAGCCAAAGATGTTTTTGAACTTGAAATTCTCCTGCCTCAGCCTACCAAGTAACTCATAATGCAGGTGCACCCAATGTATTTGGTTCAGACACAAGATTTCTTTGTTTACTGATAACTTCATATTGTGAAAATGATATTGATTTTTTAAAGATAATAACATATTTTCCAGAAAGACTTTATTATTGGTCATGTCAACAAAGATGTGTGCACTAGAATTCCCTAGATCCATCCCCTGCTCTGATTCTCTGGGAGGAGGCAAATCTCCCTAGGATTTTCCTCAGAGCTGTGCCCACATCTTTATTCCTCAAGCTGTAGATAAGCGGGTTAAGCATGGGGGTGAGGATAGTGTAGAAGGCAGACACAATCTTATCTTTCTCCGGTGTGTGGTAGGAATGGGGAAGCACATTAGTGTAGAAGGCAGCCCCATAAAAAATGCTCACCACCATAATGTGGGAGGAACAAGTAGCAAAGGCTTTGCGCCGGCCCTCAGCAGAGCTCATGCGATGGACAGTGACTAGGATGCGTGTGTAGGAGACGGAGATGATGGATATAGGAATAAGAAGCATCAGAACACAGCAAGCATACATCAGTGTCTCGTAGAGTGAAGTGTCAATGCAGGACAGCCTCAGCACAGCAGGAATCTCACAGAAAAAGTGATTGATCTTCCGAGACCCGCAATAAGGAAAGCTCATGGTGACAGGTGTCAGCATAAATCCATCCAAAGAGCCACCAATCCAGGACCCCAGGACCATGAACAAGCAAATCTTACGGTTCATGAGGACTGGGTATCTCAATGGGTTGCACACAGCCACGTACCGGTCATAAGCCATGAGGCCCAGCAGGAAGAATTCTCCTCCAATAAGGGTCAGGTAGAGGAAAATCTGAAACGCACAGCCCAAGAAAGAAATGGTCTTGTCCTTGGACAGGAGGTCTTGGAGCATCTTAGGGACAGTGATACAAATGTAGACAGTGTCCATGATGGAGAGCTGGCTGAGCAAGAAGTACATGGGTGTATGCAGTCGGAAATCCACATGAATGAGCAGAATCATGACCAAATTGGCTGTTACAGCCACCACAAAGATGGAGAAGATCACTGCAAAAAGAATCCCAGGGTATGCAGGATTGGTGATAAGTCCTAAAAGAATGAAATCACTGGAGTTTGGGAGAAGGGTCTCCATGCCTATGGCACATGATAGATAGATCCCTGGGCTGTAAAGGGAAAAATGAAATGGGTGGGTTAAATAATTTCCCAATGTTTTCCCCAGACATATACTAGATATTGCAAATAAGGGAAACCATGGACCAATGTTTCTTTGGGCCTGGCTTACTTCACTTAATAAAATTTTTTAAGTCTTTCCATTTCCTAACAAATGGGACAATGCCATTCTTTCTGATATATATATATATATATATATATATATATATATATATATATATATATATCACATTTAAGGTCAAAAGCTATGTACATATTACCAGTTAAGATGATGTTAAGTGAAATCAACCCCAAGATAGGGACACAAGTGATTTTTTTTCTTTTTGCTATTTTTCTAACATATTTATAATGTACCATGTGATTTTTTTGTTGCCATGTATGTTCCTCCCCCCACAGTATAACCCCTGTTTTTCATTGTATTTGATGTTGGTGTCTTGCACCTTTAACTTTTTTTTTTTTTTTTTGGTCTGTCGTGGGGCTTGAACTCTGGGCTTGGGCGCTGTCCCTGTGCTCTTCAGCTCAAGGCGAGTGCTCTACTGCTTGAGCCACAGCGCCACTTCCAGTTTTCTAGTGGTTTATTGGAGATAAGAGTCTCACGGACTTTCCTGCCCGGCTGGCTTTGAACCTCAATCCTCAGATCTCAGCCTCTTGAGTAGCTAGGATTACAGGTGTGAGCCACCGGTGCCCGGCTTAGTAGCTATTTTTTTTTTCTTTTTGGTCGGTCATGGGCCTGAACTTGGCTTGGGTGCTGTCCCTCAGCTCTTCAGCTCAAGGTGAGCGCTCTACTACTTGAACTACAGTGACACTTCCTGCTTTTTCTGCTTATGTGGTGCTGAGTAATTGAATCCAGGCCTCATACATGCAAAGCAAGCATTCTACCACTGAGCCATCTTCCCAGCATCCTGCATCTTGTATATACACTTCTCTAATTTGGGGAGGGGAAGGGAAAAAACAAAACGTTAAAATAGGAATACCCATTGTAACAATGAGATGTACAAGACACTGTTGAAAAACAAGCTTTACAATTTGGGGTGGGGGGTGGAGCGTGGAGTGTAGTAGAGGAGGTGAGAGGAAAGGGATGGTAGGGGAAAAATAAAGGAAGAGGCAACAATGCTTGATAGGAAATGTATTCATTACCTTGCTCATGTAACTGTAACCCCATTGTACAGTATTTTTACAATAAAAAACTTAAAAAATTAATTTCCCAATGTTGAGAAACTGCTCACTATGAAGAGTAGATGAAAAGGAAGGTTGAAACTAGTATGATGGTAGTATCAGTTACCATGCAATTGGAAGCAGAACAATCCTGAGTAGGAAGATAGTTGAGAAAAGTCATTGTGCCCTTATCTAATAACAAAATGGAAACAAAAAGGGCTGGAAGATTTACTTCAAGTGTGGAGCAGCTGCATAGCATGGAAGAAGCCCTGGGTTCAATCCCCAGTAAGAGAGAGAGGGAGAGGGAGAGAGAGGAAGAGGAAAGAGACAGAAAGGAATTTATATTGACTTCAGAATCCTTTTGATTTCTTCCTTCAAAATTAATAGCTAGTATGATATTATACAAATAATTGATATCTAAAACTTTATTAAAAAGTTAATTACAGCTGGTCCTCAACTGTAATCCAAGTTACTTAGGAGGCTGAGGTCTGAGGATCGTGGTTCAAATCCAGCCCAGGCAGGAAAGTCTGTAAGACTTAATCTCCAATTAACTACCAAAAATCTGCAAGGGGAAGCTGTGGTTCAAGTGGTAGAGCAGTATCCTGGAGCAAAAAAACTCAGGGACAGCACCCAGACTTAGAGATTAAGCCCCAGGATCGACACACATACAGATAAACAATTAGTTATAGATCCATATGCTACATGCTAGATGTTAGATGGAAATGTAATAATCTATACAGTACTTCCTTTAGAATCTCCATTAGATTTATTGTAAAACATATTAAGTGTTCCACATGCATTTTATAGTTTATCATTGTAGATTTAAAGGGTGTGTGGGGGTTAGGATCTGTGCCTTATCTTTTAATCATTTCCTAATCAGTTACTAAATATTTGTGTGAAAGTTTGAGACCTCGAAGATTAGTAATCAGTTATGAGGAGTCCATTTTGAGGGACAGTGTCCACACTGTCCTGTGGTGGTGTGGGCAGGAAAGCAGGTATAGGTCTAAATGTGACCTCTTTTCAGCACTTGAGTCAATTTGTTTCACAGCATAATTTGAAATAAAAATTCTCAGGTGAGTATTGCCACATAATCTGCTGAGTGAACAACATTTTCTCTTTATCATCATAAAGTTGTTTCAGAGCCCATAAAGCCTGCCAAAATTGTACGATTAAGTACTGATCCGAGCATTCAGTGATGAAGTGCACTTTTCATAAATTATTGTTCATCAAAAATACTCAAAAGTTTCCCTAGTAGGAAAGTACTCTGAACCTACTAGAATCAAATGTTATTGTACCAATCCATGGACAACATGTTTTCCAGTCTTCCATTTATTTTTCTATTGTATTATTTTTCCTTGTGTGCGTATAAGTAAAAATAACTAGGGATGATACAGAAATTCCTGACTTTGAATGGAAAAAGACAATAGCATCAAATGTTCTTTTAATTAGTTGCACAAATTCTCTTGTTCACATTTTGCTATAGTAATACAACCATGCACTTCTTTGAAATGTTCAGCAATAATAAAAACACTAGATCAGTTTTTATTATCAGATCACAGTGTGCCTTACTCAATTTCAGCCCATTTTTATAAAATCTATTCTCCACGAACACTATAAATATACCTGGATCTTTCAAGTATCAAAAAGAAATGAACCCTCTTAAAGCAAAAATAATAATAGGATCAGTAAGGAAACAGCCATTCTTCCTTAGCCAAGAGGGAGATCTGTTATTAGTTATATTTTAAATAAGTTAAACTACAAAGCAAAAAAATAAGCAGTAATGTTGTGTTGGTCTGTGCTGAAACTCAAATTTGTTGCACATTATCTGTTGAGAAAAAAACTGATTAATATTAAATATTACTTCATGACAAAGTTGAAAGATTTCTGCACTTTTTGTCTTCTTTAATATATGAATAATTTTCTGTGACAGCCACAATCTTAAATCATAGTCAAAACCCCTACTTTTTCTTAGTGTTACTGGGGACTGAACTCAGGGCCTTGGGCTTCCTAGAGAGGTGCTTAACCAATTGGTTCATAACCCCAGACAAAAGAAACTGTCAAGGGAATTCTAATTAAAAGCCCATTTATATTTTCTTTGTAATAACTGATGGGGAATTAAAATATTCACCGTAGCAGACATTAACTACTTTATTCAATAGCTTTTGTCACCTAGATAACTTATGGATTATATATTTTATTTTTTTTTGGGGGGGGTCCGGTCGTGGGGCTTGAACTCTGGGCCTGGGTGCTGTCCCTCAGCTCTTCAGCTCAAGGCTAGCGCTCTACCACTTGAGCCACAGTGCCACTTCCGGCTTTTTTCTTTTTGCTTATGTGGTGCTGAGGAATCCAGCCCAGGGCCTCAGGCATGCGAGGCAAGTGATCTACCACTGAGCCACCTTCCCAGCCCGTGGATTATATATTTTAATAACAGACAATAACAATTGATATTCCAATCAACCCTTTACAGTATGCTTGAAGAACTGAAATTTCCAAGACTGTGACAATGAATCAAGTTGAAAATTACCTTTAAAAATAATAAATTGTGCCAGGTGCTGGTGCTTCATGCCGATAAGCCTAGCTACTCAGGAAACTGAGATCTAGGATCACAGTTCAAAGCCAGCCTAAGCCTAACTACTCAGGAAGCTGAGATCTGAGGATCACAGTTCAAAGCCAGCCCAGGCAGAAAGTCCATGAGAATCTTATCTCCAATAAACCACTAGAAAACAGGAAGAAGGAAGTGGTGCTGTGGCTCAAGTGGTAGAGCGCTCACCTTGAGCTGCAGAGCACAGGGACAGTGCCCAGGCCCAGAGTTCAAGCCCATGACCGACAAAAAAAATAATAACAATAATAAATTGCTTTTGAAGCCATAAGTAAGCCAGTAAGTTTGGTTTAATACAAATACGTAGATTGCACTTTATAGTACTGAGAAGGATCAGCATTCTTCCAGGTCTCATGTTAGGGAAAATCTGAGATGAGAATACAAAGCTGAAAAGGATATGATCTCAGGTTTGGGTCTTTCTGCAGTCCAAGGCAGGGAAGGCCAAGTTAGCAGACTTAGTTATAGTATCATCTAGAAATTTCTACTTCCCAGTAACTTTCATAACATTACCCAGTGTCACCAGATAAGCACCTGTCAGGCAACACAGGGGAGGCAGTAGATGGTCAATGCAGAGGATGGTGTGCATGAAGCTGTTAGTCTCTGGTGTCTTTGCATTGGGCTATGAAGGGAAAGATTGGCGTTTTGTTTGGTGAGTGACATGAATAATTGTGGTCTGCCCTCTGGAAAGTTGAGTTAGGGAGAATAAGGAACATCTTGTAAAAGACAGCAGAATCTTTCTGTGGCAGAGGTCAAGGGAGGAGGTAGGCACAGAAATGCAAGCAGCTAAGCGTTTTCACAGCAGTTTTTCAGAGAGGAAGTCCAGGTGAGTTTAGAAGATATTTTAGCAGCCAGGCATGCATAGATTCAGGAATCTAGGATTCACAGAACTGCAAGAACAAAGCTGTAAGTGACTTCCTCCTTCAGGGAATGTTTCCCACTCCATTCTCAAAGAGGGAATAGTCAAGGGCAAAAGCTTTCTATATTCAGGGGCAATTACTAACATGATCTAAGGAGTCATTATATCCAGTATTACCTAGGAGGAGCATACAATGCAGCTTGAGAAATGAAGCCTATACCAACTATACTCAAAATAGCAATCTCCTTGATCCCTACCTTGCGGATTTCTAGGGAAGCAAAAACAATGTGTTGTTCATGATTATGCTTTAAGCAACAACAACAGCGAAAGTATGATAGAAGCACTTCATGCT